CTTCCCCAGATACGGCCCCTAGACAGTCCACCCGCACCCAGACCTGCCGCCCCTGCCCCCTGCCCACCTGCCTGTGAGACCTGCTTCCCCAGATACGGCCCCTAGACAGTCCACCAGCACCCAGACCTGCCGCCCCTGCCCCCTGCCTGTGAGACCTGCTTCCCCAGATACGGCCCCTAGACAGAACACCAGCACCCAGACCTGCCGCCCCTGCCCCCTGCCCACCTGCCTGTGAGACCTGCTTCCCCAGATACGGCCCCTAGACAGTCCACCAGCACCCAGACCTGCCGCCCCTGCCCCCTGCCCACCTGCCTGTGAGACCTGCTTCCCCAGATACGGCCCCTAGACAGTCCACCCGCACCCCGACCTGCTGCCTCTGCCCACTGCCCGCTGGCCTGTGAGACCTGCTTCCCCAGATACGGCCCCTAGACAGTCCACCAGCAGCCGGACCTGCCGCCCCTGCCCCCTGCCCACCTGCCTGTGAGACCTGCTTCCCCAGATACGGCCCCTAGACAGTCCACCAGCACCCAGACCTGCCGCCCCTGCCCACTGCCCGCTGGCCTGTGAGACCTGCTTCCCCAGATACGGCCCCTAGACAGTCCACCCGCACCCAGACCTGCCGCCCCTGCCCACTGCCCGCCGGCCTGTGAGACCTGCTTCCCCAGATACGGCCCCTAGACAGTCCACCAGCACCCAGACCTGCCGCCCCTGCCCACTGCCTGTGAGACCTGCTTCCCCAGATACGGCCCCTAGACAGTCCACCAGCACCCAGACCTGCCGCCCCTGCCCCCTGCCCACCTGCCTGTGAGACCTGCTTCCCCAGATACGGCCCCTAGACAGTCTACCAGCAGCCGGACCTGCCGCCCCTGCCCACTGCCCGCCGGCCTGTGAGACCTGCTTCCCCAGATACGGCCCCTAGACCGTCCACCCACACCCAGACCTGCCGCCCCTGCTCCTGCCTGCCGGCCTGTGAGACCTGCTTCCCCAGATACGGCCCCTAGGCCGTCCACCAGCACCCAGACCTGCCGCCCCTGCTCCTGCCTGCCGGCCTGTGAGACCTGCTTCCCCAGATACGGCCCCTAGGCCGTCCACCAGCACCCAGACCTGTCGCCCCTGCCCACCTGCCTGCGAGACCTGCTTCCCCAGATATGGCCCCTAGACAGTCCACCAGCACCCAGACCTGCCGCCCCTGCCCCCTGCCCACCTGCCTGTGAGAGCTGCTTCCCCGGATACGGCCCCTAGACAGTCCACCCGCACCCAGACCTGCCGCCCCTGCCCACTGCCCACCTGCCTGTGAGAGCTGCTTCCCCGGGTACGGCCCCTAGACAGTCCACCCGCACTCAGACCTGCCGCCCCTGCCCACTGCCCACCTGCCTGTGAGACCTGCTTCCCCGGATACGGCCCCTAGACAGTCCACCAGCACTCAGACCTGCCACCCCTGCCCACCTGCCTGCCTGTGAGACCTGCTGCCCGCCCGCTCCTTACAGAGCAGAAGCAGTGAAAGACCAGAGTTCAGCTCTGTGCTGAGGACCCAGGGGGAGCCTTCTAGTCTATGGATGCAGGCTGCTGGGACGGGCGGAGGGGTGAAGGCACCCTACTTCTCCTTCCAGGCCTCCCTTGGGGCTCAGGGCTTTCACACCCCCACCCGGCCCTGTGGTATGCAGCGGGGTCGGGGGGCTGCATGGGTGGAGCTGCTGGGCAGGGAGGGTGTCAGGTCAGCTCTCGCGTTAGAGGTTACCATGTAGGTGTAAGGGCTTTCCTGGTAGCTCAGCTGGTAAAGAATCTGCCTGCAATGCAGGAGACCCCGGTTTGATTCCCGGGTTGGGAAGATCCCATGGAGGAAGGATAGGCTGTCCACTCCAGTATACTTGAGTTTCCCCGGTGTCTCAGACAGTCAAGAATCCACCTGCAATACGGGAGACCTGGGTTCGATCCCTGAGTTGGGAAGATCCCCTGGAGGAGGGCATGGCAACCCACTCTAGCATTCTTGCTCGGAGAATCCCCATGGACAGAGGAGCCTGGTGGGCTACATACAGTCCATGGGGTCATAAAGAGTTGGACACGACTGAGCAACTAAGCTCAGCGGCTACATACAGTCCATGGGGTCATAAAGAGTTGGACACGACTGAGCAACTAAGCCCAGCACAGGCAGATGCAAACCTGTGTGGCTGTGAGGTGCAGGGCTGCGGGCACCCCCACCACATCCATCCCTCTCGGGGGCCTGGAGTCACTGAGGACTAGTGTCTGGAGCATCCTGCCTCCCTCAGGTTTGTGGGACCGGGGGAGCCCAAGCTGAGGCCCTGCCTGGTTTGTCTTCCTCCATGGGACCTTGGGCAAGTCAGCTTTGTCAGTGGCTGATAATGAACTGGACAGTCCGGTATTTTAGCTTCCCATCTATAAACACGAAGGCCTGTAAAGGGCCTTTAATCTGGAATACAGTTCTTGACTGGTAAAGCTATTTTATAAATAAGGCAACGACCTTTCTTGGTTGCAGATACAGCCTCCTGAGGTGGCCAGACGTTGCAGGCCCAGGGCACCTACCTGGATGAGCACTGTGTCGGGGCTTGGAAGTCTTGCTTGCTGAAGTCACTCCCATGTGATGCCTGGCTTCTTGCCTCAAGTGCAGGCTTCTACAGGGTGTTCAGCCAAGGACAATGGGGTGGGGTGGGAGGGCTAACAAGCAGAGAGATGGCCAGTGTTGCCTTTCCTACCACAGGCTGCATGATTGTTCTGTGGGAAACCTATTTCTAGGGAAGGAAAGAAAAAAGTAGTATAAAAGCTTCACAGGGCTTCCCTGGTGGTCCCGTGATTAAGCCTGCCAAAGCAACGGGACATGGGTTTGATCCCTAGTCCAGGAAGATCCCATGCACCAAGGAGCAATTGCATCTGTGAGCCACAACTACTGAGTCCACGGCGCTGCGACTACTGAAGCCTATGCACCTAGGGCTCGTGCTCCCCAACAAGAGAAGTGACTGCAACCAGAAGCTCGTGCCCGGCAACAAAGAGTACCCTCCGCTCGCTGCAACTAGACAAAGCCTGCACGCAGCACGAAGACCCAGCACAGCCAAAATAAAGAATCTCCGGAAAAAAAAAAAGTTTCACAAAGAGTAAGCGCAAATTAGTGAGATGTTCGAAGATATAATTATTAGAACTATTTTTGCCATTGCTGATAGTGTTTAGGGTTCATCTGACAAGCCTAGTTTTTCACTTACAGTATTTAACATTTATACCTCCTTTTTAAAACACGTTTTGTTTATTTGGCTGTGCCGGGTCTTAGTTGCGGCTCTCTTGATCTTTGATCTTCATTTTGGCATGTGGGATCTTTAGCTGTGGCGCGTGAGTTCTTAGCTGTGCCGTGTGGGATCTAGTTCCCTGCCCAGGGATAGAACCTGGGCCACCTGCACTTGGGAGTGTCGAGTCTTAGCCACCGGACCTCCAGGGAAGCCCCTATACCTCATTTATCTGGAAAAACAAATAAACAAAAACCCCAAAACCGAAAAACGAAGAACAAAATCCTGCCTGGCCTCTTCCCTTCCAGGGGCAGATGGGAAGGTTGAGACGATGCGGGGAGGTGAACACAACATGGGGCCCTTTAATGAGCATCCAACATGAATGACCTCATGTCCTCTCTGTAAGGCACAACCCTGTAAGGTAGGTATATCATCATCCCCACTTCACAGATGTGGAAACTGAGACCCAGCGAGAAGCAGTCACTGCCCCAGGGGACATGCATGGTGGCAGAGCCTATTCTTGGGTTTGGGGCCAGGACCCCTAACCTCCTGCTTGGCGGTCACCCTGGCAGGGCCTCTTCAGGATGGTTCTGCCCCAGGGCCTCCTACTTGGCTCCTTGCCTGGAGCAGGGCAACATCTGGGAGGATGGGGCAGAGCTGAGCCCCACGGCCACTCCCCAAGCTCTCAGAACACTCAGCCTGGTCGCAGGGCAGAAGAAAGGGGACAGCCTGGTCCACCCCCCAGTCCCCCCAGTAGCACCCCTGCCCCCCAACGCTGCAGCTTCAGGACTCCAAGATCTACGCTGCTGCTTTCTGACTCCCTGCCCGTGAGTCCACAGCCACCTCCTCCCAGGGCCTGACACAAGCCTCGGGAAGGATGCTTCTGCCCCAAAGGACAGAGCGCTTTTCGAGGAACTCAGCAAACTTCCTTCTGAGAGGGGCCAGAGAGCAGGTGTGGAGGCAGACCCGGGGTGCCCACCTGCTGACCTTCCGTCATCCACCCCCGAGCAACAAAGACCATCACCTCTTAGAGCGCTCACATTGTACTTTTTATTGAAGTGTGAAGAGAGGCAAGGGCTTTCTGTGTAAAATATTTAACGTTTATACCTGTACACACACTTATACATGTCCACCCTCCTTGGGGAAGGGCAAGACGGCTCTGAATACAGAGGAAGGGGGGTGGAGAGGGTGGGACAGACTGCCCTGGACCCCCGCAGGCACGGGGTCAGGCGCACAGAGTGGGACGGAGGTGGGTTATTAAGAAGCATCTTGCTTACTAACATGAAGCCGCGTACCGCACAGTGAGCGCGGATGAGGCCTCATTGGCTTAAGAGGAGAGCCCATGGAGGGCGGGCACACGGTGCCCAACGAGCCAGCCAAGGCCGGCGTCCCAGGGGCGGGGTGGAGGTGGGGGTGCCGTGCACAGGGCCCCCAGCCCAGGCCTCTGCTCCCCCCTGCCTCCCTCCCCGCCCTCTGAGAGAAAGGAGGGTTTGGGCCTCAGCCACGGACTGACAGCCGTTACTGGCAGCGTCTCCTGAAACTACAGATACAATGTGCATCAACAGGCTGATCGCTCCTGACCCCTCGGGCAGGGGCGGCCAGAAGGGCCAGAAGCAATCCTACAGGATCTTTGGTTTGGGGTTCCCTCCCCTACTCGAGTCCTCCCTCTGTCCGGCCTCTTGCGTTGGGCCTCGGGGCCGGGCTGCTCAAGGGCCCAGGCCCAGCCTGGCAGCTCTCAGAGGTGCTGCCCCCGGGGCGGCCGGGCCGGCTTTATTCACTGAGGTGCTGGGACTTGTAGGAGAGGATCTCGGCAGCCAGCTGCTGGGGGTCCAGGAGCTGCGGGAAGCGCGCCATCACGGCCTCCACCAGGTGTGGGGGGAAGACTCCACACAGCTTAGTGTACACGCTGGCTCGCTCCTTCGCCAGCCTGCCTGCCCCGCCCCAGGGGCCCCTATCAGCCCCTGGGCCCGGCGCCCGGGGCTCCTGCAGGCCTGGGGTGGGTGGGGGCAGCTGGTACGGCTCAGACCAGTATTCCCGAGGTGGAAAGGCGGCCGGCGGGGGCGCGTAGTCAGCGGGGACGCTGAAGTGGCCGGCACCCAGGCCCCGGCTGAAGGCCGAGAAGGCTGGGGTGGCGGGGAGCTCTGCCCCATAGGTGCGGTAGCCGGCATAAGGGCCCCGAGGCGGGCCCGGCTCACCAGGGCCCCCTCCTCGAACCCCCCAGAGTTCTGACATCTGGCTCTCCAGGGAGCCGATGCCCGAGTCCAGGCAGTCCTGGGAGATGTAGGGAAGCGAGTCCGGGGTCTGCGAGAACCAGTCCGAGGGCCCAAAGCTGCCGCCACTGCTCCCACCAGGTGGGAGGCTCCTGCCTGTCGGGGTGAAGGTCTGCATCAGGCCCTCCCGGGGGGCTCCTGGGGAGGCCTGGGCCCCCAGCTTCTTCCCGTCCGGGCTGCACTGTTCCTGCTCTGTTGGCAGAGAGCCGGGCTGAGAGGAGGGTGAAGGCCGCCGGCTGCTTTTGTCTTTGCTCGCGGCCCTGGAGGGTGGCAGCAGGGCGTTGGCGCGGAGCTCGTCGGCCACGGAGCGCTGGGGCCGGCTTGGCCGCTCGGGGTGGAAGAATCGGCACTTGATCCCATAGGTGCATTTCCTTCCTGGGAGAGAATTCAGGGGGGATCTAGAACCAGGGCTTCCCTGGTGGCTCAGACGGTAAAGCGTCTGCCTGCAATGCGGGAGACCCGGGTTCGATCCCTGGGTTGGGAAGATCCCCTGGAGAAAGAAATGGCAACCCACTCCAATACTCTTGCCTGGAAAATCCCATGGACTAAGGACTATTCCTGGTGGGCTACAGTCCATGGGGTCGCAAAGAGTCGGACATGACTGAGCGACTTCACTTTCACCTTCACCTAGAACCAGGGGGTGGGAGACGGAAGGGGCTAGTCCTAGAAACATGGGGTGGAGGTAGGGGTCCCCGAGACAAAGACCATGGGTGCAGGCTGATCTGGGCGAACGATCAGGGGATGCTGTGAGGATGGCCCGGGAGGCTGGGGCCGGGCTCTCACCATAGGGACACGGCTGCTTCCGGTGCTCCGCCGTGAGTGGCTTCTTACGCAGGAAGTTGTCCAGGCTCGGCCCGTGACGGCCCAAGGGGTCATCGGGGGGCATGAACCTGCAGAGGATGGGGGAGAGGCGATGGGGGACTTCCCAGTGCTGGGGAGGGGCTGGACAGGGAGCCTCACTAGGACGAAGAGGGGGCAGCTCCTAAAATTAGTGTCCACCCAGCAGGATACCCCCAGACTCTGGGGGGGGACTGTCCCGAGGCAGGGAGGAGGTCCCAGTCCAGAGGGTCACAGTCCGGGGTGACTCTCCTGCTGGGAGCTCGCTGAGGCCTGAAGTCTGGATCTAAGGCTGCACCCGCGGGCCTCTGGTCAGAGCCTCGGGGCTGGGAACTGGAGAGACCATCTTGAAGCACTGACCACATCCTGTCCCAAAGGCTCCTGACCTAGCCCCTAAACCAGAAAGCCCTGCCCTCTCCCAGCCCAGTCTGTGGGGTCCTGTCCATCTCGCGCTCGGAGCTGCCGAGGCCCAAGGCCACACGGCTCAGCCACAGAGCCGCCCCGGCCCGGTCGCTCTCCTGAGCCCCTCCTACAGCAGCAGTGGCGGGGACGTACTTGTCATTGACGAAGGAGTACATGAGCAGCCGCTCCTCGATGAAGCGCTTCCACTCCTGCCGCTCGCCCTGCAGGTCCCGGTACGTGTCGTTGGAGACCACGATGCCGTCCGACTCAAAGGCCAGCTTCACGATGAAGCGGTCGTCGTAGCAGACCACCCGCTTGCCGCCCACCCGCCGCGATGGCGTGAACACCAAGATCTTCTTCTTCTCCAGGTCCCGCAGGATGTGCTGGTCTGGGAGGCAGCAGGGGCACACGCAGGTCAGGGCCCAGCCTGGACTCGCAGCCAGCCCGCGTGGCTCCCGGACACCTGGTAGCCAGGCTCTCAACTCCAGGGTCACGGGAGCAGGAAGAGGCTCCGTGGAGGCTAAGGACCCCGGCGCCTTGCTGGGCCTGGTGCCTCGTTTCCTGCCCAGAGACCAAGAACCCCCAAGAACAGGCCGGCGGGTTGTGCTCAGTGAAGGCTGGGCTGCTTCCTTCTCTCCCCTGGACGCCAGGCCTGGTCGCGCCCAGCCTGTCCTGGGGGGATCTGGCAATGAACTCCGGCTTGAGCTGAGGCCAGATGAGTGTCTCAGCCAGGACAGACGGACCCACCCAGAAGGGGCCTCTTTCCCTTGAACGGGCGACCCTAGCCAGCCTGCCTGCAGATCGAGACGTCCAGAGAAACAAACTTGGGCTCTCCCCACAAAGGTCGGGAGCTCGTGTAAGAGCCATGGGAGCAGCCGGAATCCGTTACGTGCCAGCAGCTGGCATCCGCTATGTGCCAGGCGCTCTGCTGAGCACTTACGTCTATTAACTCCTGTGAGGCTGACACCCACCCTGCAAAGTTATCAAGCCCTCACCCCATTCCGTGTCTCAGATGAGGGGCAAGTGGCCTATCCAGAAGGGACTGAGCCGCTATGTCACCCTGCCCCTGTGCCATGGAGGATGTGGCGAGAGCCTGCCACCATTAGGTGAGGGAGGTGCCCGCTACCCGGAAGGAGAGGTTGCCCAGGGTGACCTCCAAGGACCACTGTTCAGAGCAGGGATGCTGAAGACAGCAAAAGCCGGGGAAAGAAATGCTGGTTCCTGCTTGGGGCCTGGAAGCTGTTGCTCACACCCAAAGGGTCTCAGTGGAGGGGAACCGGCTCCTGCGGCAGTGAGACTGCGCCCCGCCCGAGATGCCACTCACCAGTGATGGGCACATCTGCCCGAGGCTGCTCCTTCCTCCAGGACGGTACGAACACGGTGATGTCTGTGTGGCCCCGCTCCAGGAACCAGTTCACCGCCAGGAGGATCCCCCGGCAGGAGAAGACCTCCTTGTTCCCATGGCTGGGGGGGAGAGGAGGGCAGGGTCAGCCTGCTGCCGCCTAGATCTGCACAGGACGGGGGCGGGCTGCCCTCCAGCCCCCGCCCTGGCTGGGGATCCAGCGCCTGTATTCCCTGCTGGTTCCCACACAGGCTGCGATGGCCAGACCTGGGGCTTTTTTTTTTTCCTGAGGTTCCATCTCCTGACAGACAGCGAGGAGACGCCCAGGAATCTGGCAGCACCTGCTCCCCATGTGGGGGAGGGTCAGGCTGCTTACGACACATCTGGGGGTGGGGGAAAGGCGCTGGGACCACAGGGACACAGATGTCCACAGGCGGACTGAGTCACCACCCCTCCCTCGCTGCTCGGCAGGGCTGTGGGTGGGGGCTGGGGAGGAGAAACCAGATTGCTCTGGATTAAAGTGGGATTAGCGTTTAGGCCTGCTCCAACCGCAGGGAGTGGGACTGAGGAGGGTGAGGGGGGAGGCTCGAGTCAACCTTCAATTCGGGGCTGGAGGTGGCCACAGGGCTCTTCAGTGTGAAAGTGAAAGGAGACTGCTTTTCCTCCCACGGACTGCCCCGATTCCCTAGATCGAACGCCCAGATGGCCTCACCCCTCCCAGGAGGGCGTGACCCGAGGTGAAAAGACGGGTCTAGAAGACTCTGGGGACTCTGCCAGCAGCCGAGCTGGGAGAGGGGACACCTCCCCTGCCGTGGGCTGTGGACCAGACCTCAGCCCATCCAAACATGGCTGCATCCAGAAGCAAGCCCTGAGGTTGCCCTGGCTGTTTCTCTATCTGAAAAATGGGCCTGGGGGTCCGCGGTCTCCTTCAGGAGGCCCCATCAGTGGACAACAGTCCTGTCTGCCTGAGGCCAGAGACAGTCCACCGAAGTGGAGGTTCCATCTGGCTTCCCAGGAGGGGACGGGGCCTTCCAGGTAATATCAGGTGTCATGGCAGGGCTGCAGGACCAGGCGAGGGGATAGGAAGGGGCCAGTTGGGTCTCCCTCCCCAACAGCCCCTGCCCCTCCAGTGAACAACTCAGACTCACATTTGGCAAATAAAACAGAATAAGCATTACGCAAAAGAGGCAACTCCATGGCCGACCACATCCTGTGGGTGGGTTTGGGTTGGGGGTGGGCAGGCGATAGCTAGAGCTCCAAGAGAAATAGAAAGGGAGGTGGGGCGGGCATAGGGGCTGTCTAGGAGTGAGGCTGGGGCTCCCAGGGCTGAAGGTCTCTGTAAATTGGAGATAAGTCAAAGTCCAAACTGAAGGCAGAGCTCATCCTTGCCAGGTGGGGCCTCCTCGCTGCCATCCGCCGGCCCGCTTATAATAAAAGTTAACATTTACTGAGAGCTGTGAGCCAGGCCCTGATCTCCGTGCTCAGTACTAAATCATCAGTAAGTCTCTGAGGAGGGGGACTGTCATGAGAGGAACTTTGCCCTTTTATTCAGGTGAGGAAACTGGTCCAAAGAGGGTAGCCAGTTGCCAGCATCACAAGTAGCGATGGTCAAACAGAGATGCACCCCCAGAGGCTGTGCTGTGAACCCCTACAGGTGCTGATGCCCGCATCGTCCAAAGACAAGTGACAGCCCTCTGAGCAGGCCTGGATGGATGGGCGCCAAGCCCCTACTGGAGCCCAGGTGCATTGCATACCTCCTTGGCTTCATCCTTACAAGGCTCTGAGACGCATCTAAAGCTCCCTGGCTACTACTGGTAAGAGGCAGAACCTGAACCCACATCAGACTGCCTTCTGATCCCTAACAGGAGAGCTAAGGTTTCTTTAGGAGAGGAAAAAAAACCCAACCAACTCCCAAACTTGAGTTTGAACAAAAGGGTTCAGTGGGTGGGGCAGGCTGGGAACAGGGAAAATCACGCATCTGGCAAATTCCTGCTCCTCCGTCAGGACCCCAGGTGGGGTATCACTGCCTTGGAGAAGCCTTCCCTGACCTGGCAGGATGGCTCAGGCCCCTGGTCTGTCTGTGCGGTGCCCAGCGCCTCCCACTGCCCTGGGCCTTCTGCGGTCTCCCCAGAACCATGGCGGGGTGATCCTCTTGGGCCTGGGTCTCTGTCTCACGTCCACAGTCTGAATCTACAGACGCATCTACCTGCCTCCTTCTGTGCACACGTGTGTACCTACACACACCCCCTCCCAGGCCAGTACCCGCAAGCCCTGGGGCTTCAGCATCCAACTGGGGCTTCCGGGACAGAGCACTGCTTCTGGGAATCAGAAACCTTAGCTGGGGACAAGTCTGCTGTCAGTCATCCCAGCCCCCAGAATATTCCTTAAGCAGGCGGCCAGAGCCTTACTCTTGGCCGAAGTCGAACACGTGTGGCGGTCCCTCGAGTCAAGCCCAGATCCTGCCCTCCCAAGCCAGGAGCTCCTGTCTGCAGCGAACTTCAGTCTTCTCACTGCTGTGGACGAAGGTCTGCTGGCAGAGGAGAACCAGACGTCCTCTCACCCTCACTGCAGCCCTGCTGGCCCAGAAAGTCAGGGCCCCTCAGTCTAACGAGACACTGGAAGTGCTTCTGCTGGAGACTCCAGACTCCCGCCCTGGGCTGAGGGCAGGGCCAAGGCAGGCTACCCAGGTAAAAAGATCTGCCTGGGCTGGGCCCAGCGAGTGGAGAAAAATTCCCTTAGAAGGAAACAAGGGGTGAATTTCCCCACGATTTGCATATGGTAGGGGCTGGCCCGCCTGCCCTGGGGCGGGAGGGGGCAGGAGGGTAGGAACTCAGCAGCAGCTGAGACAGGAAGCTAGAGGCTGGAATTCCCCTTTTGCTACTGCCCCGGCTCAGAAAACCCCGAGCGGCTCGGCCTCTGGCCAGCCCCTCCACCACCTGCCCCTCCTCCTGCCCGGCCCCTCCTCCTCCGGCCAGAATACAAACACACACTGCACATGGCTGCCCCCGGGGCTCAGCCCACGGGCCCACGCCCCCCAAAGGAGGGAGTCGCTGAGGGATCCCAACTCCTCACCCAGTCAAATGCTACTGCAGCCTGAGAGGGGGCCCCCCGAATCTCAAAGCACATAGGGTGACCAGCTGCCGCAGGCCTGTGGATGCCAGCTTGCCTCAGTTTCCACCTAGGCTCAAATCATTTCAGAGATGGGATGGCTGACCCAGAAGTGGCTGTAGGAGGGCCACCTGCACATCTATTGCGCTGGGACGGGACCCCAGCCAGACAGCTGGGCTCGGCCAGGTATGGGAGCAGCAGACAGGGGGTGGTGGGGGGTGGGCAGAGGTGCAGAGGCCTCATGAGGCCCATCTGGGAGAGCCCTCAGGGAAGCAGGGGAAGGAGCCCTTCCCACCCCACACCCATGTCTGGGGTCTCCCCAGCCACACCCACAGGAACTTTTCCTTGTGAACTAGCCACCCAACCCTGACTCACCAGCCTGCCTTGAAAGGACAGGGAGAAAGTGAGGCCAGAGGGCAGGGCCTAAATGGAAGGGAGGTCTGGGTTCTCTGGAGTCAGCGGCAGCACCCCCAGCCCCCCCAGGAGAGCCTGCATGAGGGGGGGAGATGGTTACTGGGGTCCAGGCCTAGCTCTGGTCCCTGGGGGACCCCGAGAGCCCAGTCTAGCCCAGGTGGCTCCAGCAGAAGCAGAGGTGACCCAAGTCACCGAGCCCATGGAGCCAAAGCATCAAGCTACCCGCCCACACCCCTGATGTCACCAGATCCTCAAGGTTACTCTTGGTCACAGCTGCAAAGACCTCAATAGCTGGGCCGGCTTCCACGCGAGCCCAGGTCTGAGACAGCAAGGCCCCAGCAGTCCCAGACCCTGAATAACAGTAATGATAACAACAACTACCAGTGATGAACAAGCCCTTCTCTCCAGGTTTCCAGCATTCATTCCTCACAAGCACCACCTGAGGGGTGGGTGAGCCCTATCTCATAGAGGAGGAAGAAGGCTCCTGTGTGAATAAGCTGGAGCCCACAGTCTGATCCCTCATGGAAAGCATAAGGCAGCTCTGGAGTCAGAAGGACCCGAGTTTGAATCCCTGCTCCAGCACTTACGAGAAGTGGGTTCCAGAGTAACTCTTTGAGTCCCCTCAAACAGCCCTAAAACCCACTTCCAGGAAGCCACAAGGATTAAGGGAGACTCCTGGCACACAGTAGGGCCTCCATAAAGGGCCTTCCCTTCCTCTAGATCTGTCTGGAGAAGAGACCAAACTCCTCCCCGAAGTCCTCTCTACCAGAAGTGTAGAGACATGGCCACCAATCCCGGCCAGAGGCTATGGTCTTGGACACAGAAGTGACATGTACCTCATGGCCACGTTGCTCCCATCGATGACCACGGGTCTCAGGTCACTGCCCTCCTTGTCTTCCTCGGATGGAGAAGTCTCCACGGTGGAAGTCTTGGGGGTGCCCCCGCCTCGGGGGACCAGAGGCAGCTGAGGGCAGGGGTCTGGCGACGCCTGGCGCTCCCGCTCGGCCACTGACCCATGTTTCACCAGCTCCCCCAGCACTGTGTTGGTGTCTGCCTGGACGCCCAGCTTCTGCAGGACACTATGGATCTCTGCAGATGAGTAGCCCAGCTTCCGGAAGAAGTCAACCTTCATCTGCAGTTCTGCAGTCGTTGCCTCCTCGGCCGTGGGCTCCTGGGCCAGCCTGGGGGTCCCCTGGCAGCTGCGGCGGTCTTCAAGTTCCCACAGGCTCATGGTGGGGCTGGCTTCCTGCCTGGGCCTCTCTTCACTGACCACTCACAGCTCAGATTGGTGGAAGGCACTTTTCACAGCTCCTGTAGGACAACCACGAGGGTTAGGGATTGGACTGGATTTCCTGCTCACCCCCTCTCCTGTCCCTCCCTCTCCATCCAGCAGTATGGGCTGCAGTATGCAAAGCCATCTTGGTCTGTTACCTCTATTATCCTCTACAAAGCCTTCCCAGCTAGAGAGCATCACTCCCATCTTATAAACGAGGAAAGTTCAGCTACAGACATTAAGAACTTGCTCAAGGTCATCCAGCTGTTGGTTGGTGGCGCAAGGATTTGAACTTGGGCAGTCTTACTCCTCTTCCCACTCCACCCCCAGCAACCGCCCCCTCCCCGCGACCCGCCAACCCAGGGGACCCAGAAATCGTGGGAGGCCTCCGAGGACCTGGCCGCGCCCCCACAGCAAGCGGGGCGGGGCTCTCAGGTGGAAACCCGCTGGGTTGGAAGTGCACTGGAAGGGGGTGGCGGGGGCTTCCCCGTTGAAGCCATCGCCTCCTCGAGTCCGCCTGCCCACTGCTCGAAGCCCAGGCCGGGAGGCGCGGGGCCCGTGGCCGGACTCCCGGACCGGGGGAGGGGAAGTTTCCAGGGCGACTCACCAGCGAGAAAAGTTGCTGGGAAACTCTGGTTGGCCTCCGGGCTCGGTGACGCGGAGGGTGTCCCGGCCCAGAACCTCGCTCTCGCCCGATTCCCACTCCAGACCTCGGTCTCCCAGGATCCTCCGACTTGGGCAAAGTTGGAGGAGGCCCCGGGGATCGGCAAGGCCGGAGTGGACTGGCCCCACGTCCCTCCCGCTCCGGTCGGTCTCAGCTAGAGCCCTTCCCACCCCCTCCTCCTCCCGCCCCGGAGGCCTGCTCCCCCTCCCAGCCGCGCGCGCCTCACCCTGCCGTGCGCCAGCCGCGGCCGGCGGCGTCTCCATGGGGCCGAGTCCCGGGGGCCAGGCCGCCGGCGACTTTATACGGGGCGAGTGGGCGGGCAGGTGGCGCCCGGGACCGTGACGCGGAAGCCGGGCAAGGCAGGCAAGAGCCGAGAGCCGGCTCGGGCGGCGAGGGGCGGAGCGGCCACCGCCCCTTCCTGCTCCGCCCCCGCGCCGCTCCGCCCCGCCCCGTCCTGGCCTCCGGCCCCGCCCCCGCTGCCCCAGAGCAGCCGGCCCGGCCTGGAATGGGGGCAGGGGGCGCGGGCAGCAGCCCCTTACCCTGAACGTCTGGGCCCTGGTGGTGGGGAGATCTGCAGGGCAGGAGTGCACGGCTCGCAGGCGTGAGGTAAGCCCAGGCTAAACCAGGTACGCACATCGAGTCAGCCACGGGCGGACCGAGTGTACGGCTACACAGGCACAGATCCGCGTACGTTCAGACCTAAGTGTGCAGAAGGTACAGTCCGGGACGATCGAGTGAACTGGGTATACGGTTTGGTTCACACACGGTTGGAGGCAGAGCCATAGTTATCAAGACAGGTACACCCAGGCAAGTACTTTTCACATTGAGAATCAGGAACACTCAACAGGTACACCGTGACTGGAACAGGTACACACAGAACTGGGCCCCACCCAGGGCCAGGCACAGTTTTTTTTTTTCCTGAAATAAGGACCTCGCCAGAATAGAAAGGCAGGTACAACCTGCCTTGTCCCAGCTGGAAAGACTTGCACCCAGGACCAGGGGCTTCGATTCTAGCGCTCCAGGTGCTGCCTTTGTCGCCTTTGAAACCCCCAGTGACCCCACCGAGCCAAGTCCCTGCTTTGTTGGCCGGTCATCTTTAAAAACCCCCAAATACCTCTTCTTTTGTGCCTCCCAGGCACAGCAACCCCAGGGGCTGGCCTCCAGGAGAGGGAGAAAATGAAGCCCCCTCCCAAGTTGCTCACTGCCACTCCTGTCCCGTGCTGTGTGCCATAGACCTAATCTTCACAACAGCCCCTTTTACAGTTGAGAAAAGTTCAGTGAAAAGTGCAGTATAGTTAGACATTTATTCATTGTAGTCACTCCTTTATGGTAGTAAAAATATTAAGTAATGAGTCCAGGTTAATAGCCATAATGAAGATAAGCCAACCACAGCGATAATGCCTGGCATTTATGGAGTGCTCACTGGGTGGTGGGCACTGTGCCAACGCTGTGTAGACACTTCCGTGCCTTTGCATCTCCTATCGGGGCCGGGAGTGCCCTCCCCTTCTTCCCCCGCTGCTGCTGCCTGGCCAATTCTATTCCTCTTTTTGATGATGTCACCTCCTCTGTGAGGCCTGCCCAGACTCCTTTGGTGCTGAGTTGCTTCCTCCTCGGTGCCCCCGCAGCACCCTGCCTGTGTCCCTACGTGCTGGATGTAATCGCTGGCCAGGGACCGCCTTCTGGGCCGGGGCTGGGATGGGACTCCGCCTGTACTCCCGGGCCCCGTGCCCCTTAGCGCTGCCAGAGGGAGCCGGCAGTGCTGGGCGATGAGTCACACAGCTCTGTGTCCTCCCTGAGTGAGCCGCAGTCTCGCTCTCTTCCGGCTCATGAAGGCAGCTCTTTCCTAAGAAGCTGACTCTGTTCTGCAGAACCCAGGACTGCTCCTGGGGAAACCCTGCTCCACTTGTAGCTGGAATGGCCTCAATCCCCAGGAGCCCTCTGGATCTAATGTGCCCAGCCTTTCTCCCTCCCCCAACCATTCTTTGCACACCTGTCTTGCCAACTTCCTTCCTGGAGCCTTCCTGCTCTCCTGCCACCTGGCCAGCCTGGGTGGGGTCTGCAGAAGTTCAGGACTGGTCACCCATGGGTGGGGGACAAGGAGAGGCTGCAGAGGGAAGGGTCCCAGGAATTACTTTGGCCTTTGGAAACTTTCCCCGACAATGGCTCAGTGGGTGAAGAACCTGCCTACAATGCAGGAGACACGGGAGTCTGAGGTTCGGATCCCTGGTTTGGGAAGATCCCCTGAAGGAGGAAATGGCAACCCACTCCAGTATTCTTGCCTGGGAAATCCCATGGACAGAGGAGCCTGGTGGACTACAGTTCATGAGGTCACAAGGAGTCAGACACGACTGAGCAACTGAGCCCACCTGAATTGAAGAAGAGAGGCTGGACCAAATATGTTTTTTTTTGGAAGCTCCACTGGGCAGGTCAGACTGGGAATAACACAGGAGCTAGATCACTGCTCTAGGAAGGGTGGGCAGGCTGCCCCCAAGCCTTGGCGGTATGCTGCAGAGATTCGGTTCCACAGGGCCTCCTGGAAATGCAGAAAGGGCCAGTTCCCTCCAGTGTTTTGAGGCTCCTAATATACCTTAAAAAGACTTGTCACACCAGAGCTATAAAAATTGAAGTATGTTTTAACATTTAATTGAGCAAATTAACTCTTTCATCACCTGTTCAAATTCAGTGCAATGTATTTGGACTACTGACAAGACAATTGGAGGATTTGTTTTTAAAAATATATTATTTCCTTGGCAAAATGGCTGATTCTTCGGCAGGGACAGGGCAAAAAGTGAGCCTTGGAGCGTCCTGTGGTGCCAGAGTTAGGAAGTGGCCCAAACTCAAAAGGATAGGGTTGTGTCATAGGGTCTCAGGAGTCTGAAGCTCCCAATGGCCAAAGCTGCAACAATTAGAGCAATAAAATGTGTAACTGAGTGTTTGGTTGTAACCCAGAGTATAAAAATCCATATCCCCGAGTAGGCACTGGTAGAAATAAATTATTGGGTAAATAACTAGCTGGAGGAGGAGAGACAAATCTTCCAAATAACATGTGGAGGTTCTCACTCCTCCAGGTTAATTATCCCTTCCTCTTCACTTGAATGTACACTGGGCTTGCACAAGTGCATGCTAAGTCGCTTCAGTTATGTCTGACTCTTGGTGACCCTATGGACTGTAGCCTGCCAGGTTCCTCTGTCCAAGGGATTGTCCAGGCTAGAATAATGGAGTGGGCTGCCATGCCCTCCTCCAGGGAATCTTCCCAACACAGGGATCAGACCTGCATCTCTTCTGTCTCCTGCATTGACAGGAGGGTTCCTTACCACTAGCTCCACCTGGGAAGCCCCACATTGGGCTTAATGACCTCTAAATAATGGAGTAGGGAAAGGAAACAATATTAAGTTTATAGTGGAGACACCTGGCAGACACCACCTGGACTGAGTGATCAAAGTTACCACCCTATCATGTGCCCCCATCAGTACGTGATGAGGTGCGTGTGAGCTAAGTCGTGTCAGTCATGTCTCACTCTTTGCAACTCCATGGACTGTAGCCTGCCAGGCTCCTCTGTCCATGGGATTCTCCAAGCAAGAATACTGGAGTGGGTTGCCATGCCCTTCTCCAGGGGATCTTCCCAATCCAGGGATCAAACCTGTGTCTCATGTCTCCTGCGCTGGCAGGCAGATCCTTAACCACTGTACCGCCAAGGAAGTCCTCAAACGCTGACTGAAGGACATTATACAAAATACTTGACCAGGACTCCTCAAAACTGAAAAAGATCTCAAAAAGCACAGAGAGACAGAAACAGGCACAGGCCAGAGAACACAAGGAGACAGCAGATGGATGCAGTGTGGTTCCTGGTTGGATCCTGGAACAGGGAGTGCATTCATGGAAAAGCTGGCAAAATCCAAATAAGGTCTGGACATTTTTGTTTGTTTGTTTTGGCATGCAGCATCTCATTTCCCTGACTAGGGATCGAACTCACAGCCCTTGCATTGGAAGTGTGGAGTGTCAACCTCTGGACCACAGGGTAAGTCCCAGGGTCTGGATTTTAGTTAATAGAGATGTACCAGTGTTGGTTTTTTTCCAGGCTTTGACAAATGTACCACAGTGGTGTGAGATGTGGGAACTCTGTGTACTATCTTTGCAATTCTTCTGTAAATTGAAAATTAAATCTGAAATTAAAATTTTATTTTAAAAAACCCTAATTCACGGGTACTGTAGGTGGTCTGTTTTGGTAAGAAGTTCAGCAGGCTTTGTTCACCTCTGTTGGTGTCTGTCTGTCTGTCTGTCTATCTGTCTATCT